CTCCGGGAACAGTTCAAAGGCTGCGTAAATGCATCTGCCGAGACATGTACGCGCATCCGTCGTCCCGAAACCACGATGGAACACGGAAAATTATTTTCGCGGAGCGCCGGGGGCCATGAAATTTCCATTTCGTTAAACCTTTACGGTCGTTAATGTCACTGCGAGCGTGTTAACGAGTACCGGGGAGCCATTGAGAGGGTTACAACTTTTCTGTGAGTGAAAATGACAGGGCGTCGAGTGCACCGTTTTCCGGGAAACTTGGGGCATTGGATGTTGGCGGGCACGTTTGGCCAGCCAACTGCAGTCGACTGATACCGAATATATTACGTCTCGATACAGCGTGTCGCCTTCGTTACGACGGCCGCGCTTTGATCTCCGAGTTTCCGTGAAACTATCGAGCGTCCCGTCAATGCCCCCTTTTTTCGTACCGGCCGGGCGAATTAATCGAGCGATCGTCGGATCCGGTCGTTCATCAAACCGAAGGCGTCCATTCAAGAAAGTTTCCCACCGAATTTTCTTTCAGCCGAATCGAACCCAGTTCGTCGGAATAGATTACCGTCGCAATTCGTTACTTCGCGAGCGAGCCAGGGAACGAGCGACACGCGACGTCTAATCAAACATCGGCCGATCGGCGCGGTTGCTGATTTGCATTCGCAAAATCAACACGCATTTTTAATTATTGATTTATGTAGGAATCCTAGTGGCTTCGCGTCTACGCGCGATTAATTTGAATGTATCGGCCGTGATTCGAACACTGTGTTTATCGTGCGCGGTGATGTAAATGATGCATAGCGCAGATAGAGACATTAATGTACATGTATGTGATAACAGCGATGTAAGTAAGCGATAGCGATGCAAATACCGCGTTTACCGCGTGCAGTGTTCATCGTGCATACGAATTGCAACGTTCCTGCAAGATAACTTTGACGCTAGAACCACCGAGCATTTAATACGATTAATATGCAGTTCCTATGAAAATTTTAAGAATAGATTATTTTCAGTTTCTTCAGACATTCGTTATAGTACTCAAATGAAACTATTTGTTTTCAAAATCATTTCGAACATTCAATGAAGATATCAATAATTTCTAAACAAAAGAATCGAAACCAGTCATTTTGACTGGTACGGTAGTTCTAGTGTTAAACTACCACTAGCATTGGCTATTTCAATTTTTGAAGAGCAGGGCGGTGTAGAATATTGCAAAAGCAAAATGTTAAAATTTATTTAAAAGGTATACACGAAGTTTCGTTTCAATTCGTTACATACAATAAAGATATATTGAAGCTTATTCAGATTGTTTCACTTTCATATTTAACCCTACAACCACCGAGCATTTAATACGATTAATATGCAATTCCTATAAAAATTGTAACAATAGATTATCTTCAGTTTCTTCAGAGATTCACTATAGTACTCAAATGAAACTATTTGTTTTCAAAATCATTTCGAGTATTCAATGCTTCGAAGATATCAATAATTGCTAAACAAAACAATCGAAACCAGTCATTTTGATACGGTAGTTCTAGTGTTAAACAATTTTGTTGTGGCGAATGGAAAATGGTATCACTGATCTGAGATATTTCAAATCACTCGAGAAACTTAAATTACTTCATTGTCTAAGAAGTTTTAGTATTCTTCGGTATTTTCTTGGAACATCAATTTTTATTCAAAGGGCTCCGGAAATTTTACGTTCCTGCTGCGGCCCATTATAATAGAGGAATTCGATCAAAGAATCGCCGTTGAAGGGGACGTCGTAAGAATTAATTGGAAAAGAACTCGCAACGAAGTTCCATCTCTTTTGCATGAGACAGTTCGGAGTAGCGGGATGTTTTTATTAGTAAGCAGGACTTGCAGAGCTTGCGAGCTGCGAATTAATATTAGCCGAGTGTTCGTTATTCCACGGATTTCAGGATGCTTACGCTGCAAACTGGAAAATTCTTTTGCGGCGTGTCTGACAACGTCGGAATAGTAACTTTTTTCCTCTGCTCTGCTTGCTACCTCGTCGATGAGCGGACAGAGACGTGTTTCGCCTTCAATTATCGCGAAGAAAGGCCGTTCGTGTTCGTTCGCTCCTCCCATTCTTTTCAACCTCAACGGTTTACCTAGCCGCGATTGATCCGAAAACAGATATTTCAATCGGACACAGCTTAATCAACTTCTCAACACCGTTCGCAATTATATTCGTGAACAAAAAACTCAATTCAGGCGATGCAACTTGAGAATACGCTCTTAAACGCCATTGAACGTTAATATTTCAATCGGAGATCTCTTCATTTACTTCTCAATTCATTAATTACAATCGTTACATCCGCGAGCCGAGTAATCATATCGAATACCGTAATTTCAGACTATCTTTTCCATTCATTTCCTTAAGAGGAAACTATCGAGCTTCTTATCAATACAACTCGCTTATCGAGAGGCCTATTAAAAACTTCCGGTTGAAGCGTTAATAGGCACGCGTCGAACCGCTCGTATTACGTTATGCATAATAGATCTAAAATTAATTATCCACTTCACACAATTTGCCTACAACTTAGTCTCGAGTTAGTTGCAATTAGTATAATTATTCGAAGACGATATCAAATATTCTTGAGATAATATTGCTCCTTGGCTTCCAGGGATATTATGATTATCTCGAACCCAGCACGTTTCATTTCAATCCATTACACAATCTTCATTTCAAACACATCGACAACCTACTATCCCCATTGTTTCCTAGAAAAACGGATACCCGCCTTCACAAAGGACGTACGCGTATATTTTATTCATCGAACGTTCATGCAACGAACGTACAACATACAATAGCAGGGAACTGCTCCAATAAATTCCATTGCTCGCATTACAATGCGCTCCGCAGTTTAACATTTACATTGCTCTCGAAACTTAATCACTCCGTTTTTCCATATCTCTGTTCTTATTTCCACGTCCGTCTCGCGATTCAATTTAACAGAATCACATATTCCTGCTGTTTAAGGTCTCCCTCGCCGTTCGAGGGGGCAGCGACAAAGGTTTAAACGAATTACCAGCGAGCTGCACGCTCGGTTGTCGCGGCGGACGTGTAACCGACGCGGGACTCGTGGCTGAGCAATTAAAAGCACGGTAATTCATGGCCCGCGGGAGCGTTCCCGTCGCGGTTGACAATCACGGAAACGTCGGGAACAGCGCGGCAAGACGTTCAACGGGGAAATCGCGCTGGCACGACGGTGTTTTACGATTTCACGTCGGCGCGCGGCGCGATGCGATGTCACGGGACCGCGCGAATTACCCATCCCCCCGCGTTATCCGTGAAATCGACCCCATTCGTCCGGCTGAAACACTCCGCGCGAAAAACTGTATCACGCCCGTGACACCAACGAAGTGGCTTCGTGCCGGAGATCCTTCACGTCGCCCGAATATCTTGATCCGTTTTATTCCGGGAGACGACTCGCCGCTGCGTTCGCCCTTCTCGTTACTCGTTACCGATAAGACAGATAATTAACCGGTTTCAGACCCTTGCAGCTTCAAAGCTGGATTAACGATTAAACGCTTAGGAGCGAGGTTATTAATGTAAGCATCAAAGGGTACGAGATCAAAGAATTGGATTATTCTTAACAGTTTCCTGCGTTTCGAGAGGATACAAAGTATACAGCGAAATAATTGGATCCATTTTTACCGAGCTGGAAAACGTATTGGAAGATGGAATATTAAAGAGTTGGATCCATTTCAATTTTGCTTCGGGAATATTGTGGAACAGAATTGAAGAAAGTCGGTGTCGCTTTCCTTTGAAATATTTGACTCCATTGAGCTCTGCTTAAAAATGTATTAAGAGATTCGGAATGGAACGGTTGACTCCATTTTCCTTTGCTCGAACATTTATTAAGAGATTGGAACTGAAATAATTGAATCGATTTGAACTCCGTCGTAAAAGGATATGGGAGGTATAAAATGAAATAGCTGCGTCCATTTTGACTCACCTTTTTGACGACTTCGTACGACATCTAAGCTTCCGACAGTGAAACGGTTAATTCGATGGGATGATACGTCACCGAGATCGATTGTCAACGAATGAAAAGCTCGCACGCGTGTTTACTGTTCCGGTGTTTATCGGAGGCGGGCAACGCGCGCGAATTGCTCGCGAAAACAGATGCCCGCCGCAAATGAGCGCGATGTTAATTTAAGGCGGTATTACCAGTGCCGCGGTCATGCGTAGGCGGATCGAGTGCATTAATGTTTAAAATTAGAAAACCACTTGTAGTATCGCAAATAGCACGTCCAAAGGCGCGAGGAATGTTTGCCTATCAATTATTCGTCGGTTCTCACTGTTCCGGCCGCGAAATTTATTGCGTTCTATTTTTACATTTTGCCACTGTGTCTTTTTTCCTCGCTCGCGACTGTTCCGCGACAGTATTCCTTTTCCATTAACCCCCTTTTATCAAATAAAAGTTAACTCCGTGTCAACTGCAACGCTGCAATAGAAGCGAACGAAAAATATTGTTACTAGCTTCCCGAAAATTGAAAACGCTTTGTCACCACGCTGCCAGCGTTGTCGAAAATCCATCTCGAATGGTCTATCCCATTTTTCTATTACTCTGGAAACTGTTATTCTACAAACTTCGTTAAACGTCTATCTCAAAAGATAGAAGCTTAATAAATTCCCTTATGAATCTCAAGAAATTACTCTGAAAACTGTTCTACAAACTTTATTACACGTCTATCTTAAAAGATAGAAGCTTAATAAATTCCCTTGTGAATCTCAAGGAATCTCACGTAAAAATATATATTTTATAATAAAGATACAAATCCTCGGATCGTTTAACAACGAGGCCGTGAATCCTCTCTTCCCATCACTGTACCCTTTCCATCAACGATTATCCGGGAACAACAATATTCCAATGACGTCCCTCGAAAGCGATAAACGTTAACAGCGCCCATGCTTTTCACTGAATGCGCTTGTGTCGCGATTTGATCCGAGCAGCGAATTAACGAGCACCGAGCCTTGTAATTCGGTGGATCCTCATTACCATTAATTCGATTCGCGGTAGAGGCGCCGTGAACGATTCGCCTTGCCTCGTTTTCCCGTCCGCCCCGAGGCCGGCCAGGATTTCGTCTTCGGCACGCGCGCTGGGGCCCGCTCCGCTTCACGCCGCGACTCGCACGTGCTTAATTTCTCCTTTCAACGGGCCACCATACCGCTCGAGGGATGTACACTCGCGACGCCGTTCACTCGCGGCTCCGGGATCGCTCCGATTTCCACGAAACCGACGAGTATTCGATTATCCCCGAGCGAGAATCAAGCAACGGTCGGAAACTTCGATCAAACCGAAGCGCGAGCACCGATCGGGACGTTCGACGATTCGTTTTTCAAACTGGGGAACGACACCGAACGCACTGGATCGTTGACAGCCATCGATCCGATCCGCGCAGCGGGACAGAGAAGATAAACACGCGCGGTTCCATGCGGAATTTCGATTTTTCCCGGATCAGTCGACGTTCCTTTCGGTCGGATCGACGAGCCCGCGGCGATCATTTATTTTTACCACGCGTGATCACGAGCGTCGCAAGTGTGAACCGCGTATCGACAGCCGCCGCACCGGCAACCATCAATTCGGCGAAATCGAGAGCGCGCCGTAAACTGAAGCGAAACTTGGATCCGCGGAGGATCCACGCTCCCTCGACGCAGTCGCAAAACACGATGCAACCGTTTTGTGTCTTCTCTTCCTCTTCCAGGCGACTGCCACTCTCTTTCGAGGGCTTCCCCGCGCCCACGCACCACCTACCTCCGCCGCTTTCCCCAAACCGGAAAGAAAACTCCCCTTTGTCCCTTCCCAGACACCCCTAACTTCGTCCGGTCCGAGCGAATTAGATTTTTCTTTGTTACGTCAATTCTCCGGCGGCTGTCAGGTTGCTTCCTGTCTTTTGGAAAAGCTCGATCGCCAGGAGACTCGTAATCGGTTTATAATTCTGCAGACTGTAGATAAAGGGCGGATTAATTAAAAGGAACTTCGAAATCGAAAGGTTTATTCAGCATAGGATCGAATATTCTCAAGTTTTTAAAAAGAACTAGGAATGAGGAGAAATTAAGGACTTCTTAGTCCATTATGGTAATTATCTCGACGGAAGAGACTTAATGAACTCTGCCAATGCTGTATAAATCAATTTATGAAAATATGCGTATTAATAGAACGGATTATACGAACTCTCAATTTCAGTTTGCGCAATTTTCATTAGATTCCTAAATATCTAAATATACGATTCCTCCGTTTAAAGATTTCCCGGAGTGATTATGAGTCACTGATTACGAATGGATCCACATTGCAAACTTAACGCGCGTGACAGCAATGGTACACGATTCTCATTATGCAGCGAGTGTAGCGAACTAGGGTGCTGCTCATAATAAGCGTAAGTGGCCCTGATCAGCGCGTTGTCGACCCCAGGACAACCAGCCCATGGAAACAAGCCCCGATACTCGGCCGAACATTCAGAGCGCAGTTTACAGATTCCGATCGCCGCGTTGGTTTCCACTGTGAAACTAATAAGATCGGATTAAAGGACGTACAGGCGGCGAAAGGTGGCGAACACGGCTCGCTCGAGGCTTTGGTGTCCGTTACAAAGAGGCGAACCCATTGTTTCCTCTTCCACCGGTGTTCATCTTCGGCCTTTGTGCCGCTCAGCCGATTACCGTCCAATGAAACGGAAATAAGGAGGACACTCGCCGCCCGCGACGAAGAATTACCGGCCGTTCTGTCGCGCACGGTGTCACTTTGCGTCTTGCAATCGAATTAAATCGATGGCCGCGTCCCGGCAGACGAGAATCCGCGCGAATACCATTTCTTTCAACCCCCGGTCGTTTTCACTAACTAATTCCATCATAATATTTCAACCGTTTTATTCAGTATTATTCACATTTCCAATTAATATCCGCGGCGACCAATATTTGTGAAATGAGAGACGCTAATTGGCGATTCCTCTAAACGTTTGCCAATTGAAAGACACCAATTAGCGTTCCCTGTCGCGTTCACACTTCGACCACCAGTCGATCAAAATTTTACGAGAAATTTGTGCAAATTTACAGATTAATTTATTCCGTGTATCGAGCGAACGATGGTTCTTTGGAATCCATAAATGCGAGGTTAAATGATCGACCGCTATAAACAATCGTGAACGTTCTATTTTATTGAATTATTATTCTATAGGATTTTTATAAGTGCTCACTTAACAGTCAGCGAATAGTGAGAAACAATTACTTTTCGACGAGAGAATCAAGATCAATTAGCAAATCAAATACAGAAAATACGGTGGCCGCGACGCGTCCTCTCCCACTTTTCCCAATCAATCATCGATCCCGCCGGTCGCCGTCACGAGATCAGCCGAGCCGGCTGAATTTCCAGAAACGTCCGGTAACACGAAACTACGGGCCGCGTCGCGCTCGTGTTGTTGTTGCGTTTGCGAATCCACTTGGAATTCAATTAGAATTCCCACGGTAAGTGACACACGGTCCCGCGGAGGGGACCAGCAGAGAATTTCAACCTTCTCAGTCTTCCCGTCGACACGATGCGTGTACGTGCTCGACAAATAAAAATGCAACGAGATTGAGCCGAGAGGCGGGCGCAGAGCGTGTTCAATTTCGCGCGTCCCCCGAGCCTCGATGATCCAGTTTACCCTTCGAACATCGCGCGTTCAACGGAATTTTAATACCGACCGGTCATCGGTCGATGGATTCGCGCGGCGTTATCGGAAAAATTCGTCGGTTAATTCGCGGATAATTGTCGTTCGTTACGGGAAGTGCAGATTAATTTTACAGTGATCGTTCGAAGAGTGTCGGAAATATCCGTCGCCGGTCCATCGTCGGCCGGGAAAATGGATCGCGCTCGTTCGGACGCCGACGGACCGTTCCCTCGATCGAGCCGGATAGAAAGTGGCGTGTTCTAATTATCGGACTCGATCACGCGTCGCCAAGGGAAGCTTCGCCGAGGGAGGAGATTCAGGTAAGATTGAAAAATAATTGATGCACTTTGCAGGTCGTTTATTCGCTCAACCAGCGGCTGATTAATTACTCGCCGTCCCGGAGAATGTGGAAGTTTTTCGATCGATAATCACGACAGCTCGTTACTTAAGAGATTCATTCCTCGGGTATACCGTTGCTTCGTTAACTCAAGATGAACGTGTTATAATCGTCCACTTCAAAATCGTCGTCGTTAACAACGGATAATCCTCTCGTATCGAAACGGGGAATAGATAATTACTCTCCGGCGCGATGAATCTTCAACGATTTATCCGTTGGAAACCCACATCCACGAGCTCGCGAGACTATAGACAATTTTCCAACACCGTCGCGAACTTTACTCTCCGGTTTCCACGATCAACGGAAATTCCGCTCCCGAAACGTGTCGTTGCACGAACTCCGAATACCAGCGAAACCTCTCCCGTCCCCCGGCGCGACGCAATAAAAAGCGAACGAAAGCGAAACCGCTAAATTGCCGCTGACAAATTTTTCAGCGCGAATGTATCCGGAGAAGTTTACCGCGGAAGCCCTTCATCCGTCGGGTTCGAGTGTAACTTTTTAGCGGCGCGGCTCGAAGTTCGTCCGCGTGATTAATTCGCACCGCGCCGGAGTTAACCGAACTTCTGTCACGTTGCCCGCGCTATAACTCGCCGACAACGCCGAGCAGCTTTATCTCTTTCAACGGGAGAGCAGTTCTGCTGTCGCGGATCCGCCGGAATATATTGGAAGATGCTCGGGACAACCGCGGTTGTCTAATCGCATGGGGAACTACGCTGAAAGTGAGCCGTGTATTTATGCATGATATCATTTTCCAGCGGCGCGCGGCCCAGTGATTTGCTTCCCTGTTCTCGGATGCAGTTTCACCGACGTTAATGCATCGGCCCCGTTGTCGGGAGCCCCGGCAGCGTGAAAGAGTACCTACTCTGAAATATGGAAATTAATTGGAATGAGATAAAAGGTCGCGCTTGGCCGACCGTCAAAGGACCGTGAAAAAGAACCGCGAGGCATTTTCAGCGGTTTCGCGTCCCAATAAATTCCAGCCGGCTAACGGTTAGTACGCTCATCCATCACGCGATGTATTAACAGGAATCGCGCGGCTTAAAACGCCCTGCAGTCGCGAGGAAGTTCGTTAGGAGTGTTGATGACGGTTTTAACCGCTGGATCTCTCCCATGATTTTTGCCACGTTGATGGAATTGTTTCGTTGTTTGCGATTTGCCTGAAAAGGAAAAGCATTTTTCGCTAAGTTTATGGCTATGTGTATTCTAGAGCAGTAGGATTGATAAAGACATTTCATTTGAATTCGAAGGAGCGTTGATGACGGTTTTAATCACGTGATCTCTCCTATGATTTTTGTCACATTGATGGAACTGTTTCGTTGCTTGCGATTCGCTCAAAGAGGAAAAGTATTTCACGATGATTTTATGGCTATCTGTATTCTAGAGCACTAGGATTAATAGAGAGATTGGCATTTCATTTGAATTCGAAGGAATTAAATGAGATCGATGTGAATGAAACGTTGAACAAAGGTGAATATTTCGATTGTTGATGTCGAGGTTACTAGGGTGGTTGGAACCAGAGTTCTAGGATTTTTGCTGACGTTAACGAATGTAACGAGGAGTCTCGAGTAATTTTTTCGTTGGTGCACGAGGAACGAAAAGGTCGAAATGATTCAGGAAAAGTTACAAGGTCGAATGTATCCCGCGTGATATTCTATGGATTGAATAACGCGGCGGAGTTTCACACGCGTTATCAAGCCCATTGCGATGCCAGTTAAATGTTACAATCGATGCAATCAGATGCATTTAAGTTCGCAGCGGACCGTGAGCGCATCACCAGAATATTAACAATTTTGTCACGAGTCCAGTGGTCTGCGACTGCTAAATGTGCAATTAAATTCTGCGATCTAATTAAAGGGATGAAAGTGCGCGCGTTGTGCGAGGTAATCATTATTACACATTAATCTATTACGGTGTGTGATAATACATTATGAACCCAAACATCTGGCAAACAATGTGTTTCGCGTGCACTTATTAATACGTAATTTCAACATTACCAACGTGGGCGAATGATTTTTTCGCGCGTGTGCCGTCACATTCGGCAATTTCACATGGAAACACGACTTCAAGCTTACGAACGCCATTAAACCCAATCGCATTAAGCTAAACCGCTTAAATATCCCGTTATTGCCGATAGAATTCTCTTTGCTCCATCGCGATTCATATTATATTCACAGGAAATTAACAGCAATATTATAATTTCGTTACAAACGCAACCCGAAATCCCCAAGTGAACGTCCACCGGTAAAATCAAACCTCGTTCTCATTATTCGCCTCTACCGCCATCCGACGACGACTCCGAGTATCAACCTTAGCGCGGGAAATTTCGATCGACAGAGCAAGCTTCGAACGCTTCGTTATCGTAGCCTGATAAGCACAACTGCCACTTTCTCGATGAGAAATAAATCCGATCCCTCGCTGTATCAAAACACGGTATCCCTTCACGCCGCCGAACGATCCGCGCCATCTGACTCCGGAAACATCCGGAAATCTTCGCAACCCTTTATCGCCATCTGCAAACCGCATGATTTAAATCACTCAACTTCATCCGAAACGCATACACGCACTCGTTTGGAAATTGCTTTACACCGCAGAATCGATACGTTGGAATCAGGATACGCGGAGAAAATCGGTATCGCGTGCGGAGAGCCACGGATAAAGCCGACAGATCTATAATCGGATTATGTTTGCGCAGATAAGAACGTTTGTTCGTCCCGCGAATGATCGGCTAGCCAAACGAAGAAGGGGGCGACGGTCTTTCATTTCACCGCGTGGCCGACTCGCTAACGAGGTTTCGGGAACACCGTAACCACGTGCTCTCTCGTGACGGTAAACTATTCTCGACGCGGCGCGAAATAACAGAGCACATACGCGACTTTTGCCACCTCCGCGATCGGGGAACCGTATCGCGCGGAACGAGTGCAACGATTCCGCGCCTCGAGTGCCCTTCGCAGCGGAGAATCCGCTCGAACTGCATTATTAGATCAACCCGTTGTATTCGCAGCAAATATTTGGCTGGGAACGATGCGGCAGACCCCGAGAGAGATTTCCAGATCGGTGATTCAGGAGACGGCCGACATTTATGCGCTCGAGCTCGGTTACGCAACCGTTGCCATCTTGCGGATCCAATGTTTCTCGCTGAAAGTCGACCGGTCTTTTTCGAAGCGTTTGTTTTCCGGTTGCGTCACGTCACTCGAGTTCTACCTCAAGTTTTGATTATTTCCTCGAGTCACTCCTGGCTTACCTCGACGCGCGGTTAACGATTCGGATCACTTGGTGTCGCGTTCAATTCCGTGCGATTCGCTGCGATTGATAAACTGTTGAATATTGATATGAATTGGTAGGAAAGTTCAAGCTGATGGGAGTGTTTCATTAACGTTTGAAGCGACTGAGGAGTAGATTTTGGTGAATTGGAGATCACGAGAAGTGACGTTAAGTTTCTTTGAACGTGAAATTTCGAGATCTCGGGTGCCAAGTGAAATATGAAACGAATATTGCGTCAGGTACCTTTGAATTAACCGAGAGAGGTTTAGTTCATTTCACTCGGAATATTAAAGATTGTCGTAAACTTCTGTTGAATATTTCAAGGTTCCGTGTCTCTCGGTTGGTAAAATGGAATATGAAACCCATGTTTCAAGCGATGCTCCGCGAAACAAACGAAAGGAAAGATTTTATTCTTTTAAAAAGGAATCACGAAGACTGTTGTAAACTTTCTTGCAATATTTCAAGATTTTATATCCCTCCGGTTACTAAATTATATAAAGTCGTTATCGTACGTGCATAGAGTTTTGCATATAAATAGAATTTTCTTGGTCAAAGAAGCCACTGAACTACTCTTATGAAGGAGCATCCAGATAGGAAAATTCAGATATTAAAGTATACGTATAACGGATGCGGTTGAATAAAGATATTCAATCTTTATTCCAAACTCACCCTTTTGTTTCACTTAGCTGCTGTAATACAGTAACAAATAATTTCGAGTGAGAGTATAACATTTCTAATTTCTAAGAATCTAATTAGAGTAAGTTTAAGAGAGATGTCCCACTTTTTTGAAAGAACTATTATATAGTAAATATCATTGATACCTAACAAAACATATATTTAACACTAGATTTACGGACGTCTATTCTACACTTTATTCTATTGTTCTTAGAAAACTACGCGTTCGTCTATATAAATCGAGAAAATTGTAGCTTCAAAACTAGAGCATTGCGATGCGTATTCGCCTAATTGCACGAATCAAAATCGACTGGAACTATTACTGAATAATGTTTAAAAAGTTCAATATCCGTCAAATTGACGGGTTCCGTAAATCTAGTGTTAAATAGACTTCTGTGCAAGATTCAGTATACCACTAAAAACAATTGAAATATTTTCAATATAGAGGTTTGACAATTTAAATGAGATCAGTCGCCTCTCACTCGGAATCTGCTTTATTGCTGAGTAACTGTAATCAATGAATATAATTAAACTTATTTCACTGCCTCATGAAAGTGACAATACAAACAGAAACATGAAGAAATTCACAGTATATTCTCAGTATTATTAATAAAGGAATAATTGTATTCTGAAAGTATGAAACCTCGATCGAACTTTCCAAGAATCAACCAATTAAAAAAACAAAATGCTTTTGTTGTCCATCAACAATTCCAAATACATGTTAAATACACATGTACGTATTTATATTGCAAACCAATTAACAGAGAACGCTTTCAATTTCGCGCAGCATACATTCGCGATCATCCTCCCCAGAATGCCCGAGGATTCTGCTATACCTCCTGTTTCTAGCATTAGCGCGATACGCTCACCTCTGCGGCGGGCGATTAAGAAATTTTAATTAACTTCTGAACATCGACACCTACAGGGTGTTCCCCAGAAAATAGAAACGTAGCCACCCGTTTAAATTAAATATAAAAGTCAGACCCG